ATTATTCTCTTCCGTCATTCACTCCTCACTATACAGCAGGCACACTCCAACCTCAGGGTCTTTGCACTTGCTATTCCCTCTGCCTAGAATATTCTTTTCCCACTTACCCATATAGCTAGTTCTCTTACTGTACTTCCTTTAGATCGCCACCCAAAAATAGTGAGATCTTCCCTGACACACTATGTAAAATTTCTATCTCCTCATTTTCCTTTGCCTTCTCTTATCTTTCTCTTCTCTGGGTCTTTTCCCCTAAGTTATTACTCATTTTCACAGACTACATGTTTCATTTATTTATTGTGTTTCTTGTCTATTATTACCTCCACTAGAAATATAAGCTCAATGAAGACATGGAATTTTATCTGCTTTATTCACTGCTTTAAGATAGTTTTCAGGTTCTAGAACAATGCCTGGCACATAGTAAATCTTCAATATACATTTAAGTGAAAGAAAAAATCTAAAAAGCCTTCACCTGTACTTCATTGCCCTTCAGTTCTCTATCGTAGGGCTCCTGACTGTCTCCTCCTCTTCTGATCCCACAGCTGCTGCCTTGCTATTGGCTCAGGCTCAACGACTCATTGCTTTTAACTTGTAGCCTGAAGGTCTAGTCTGATACATGATATTCGCAGCTCAGTCAAGTCTGCCCAGTTTTTTTTATTCTCCTCCTCAAGGACAGGTTGAATTTTTTATTCTCTCTTAGAACAAAAATTCCCTAAATCTAAGATGGCAAGTGAAAAATGATACTAACTTATGTTCAGAGACAATCTTCTGTTCTTCTGAGGATCAACCTCACTTCCTCTGTAAATATGCTGAATACAAGTCTTATGTAAGTTGTCTGTACTATGTATAAGAGGTTGCTTATTTTTTTATATCAAATATGCATCTGTTTTATAATAAACTGTGAAAAGAACAGTCTATCCGATTAATATGGTTAGTGGAATAAACAGGCAGTCCAATATCAAGTTCTACTTGAATAGGATGATAGTGGAAATGAAGCAATAATTTATGTGCTTTATATCAAAGACAAATCTTGAGGTTTACAAAATATGGCTAAAAAAACAGTTCAGAATATATTTTCAGATTTTAGCAAATGAAGGTATAGAAGGAAAAGAAAGAAGACTGAAATAGAGGAAAACTGAGAGGCAGCCATTACAGGTATCTTACAAGCTTATTTTTTAATCAAGCCAGATTTTGATTACTAAATAGTTTGAATTGCAGTAATACAGTTAATAATTACTATGTTCATTTATTTTCTTATGATTTATTCATGATTTATTCATGAAACATTGCTTATCAACCATAAACCAGACATAAGTGCTCTAAAAATAATTAAAACATGGCTTTTCTTTGAGTCTAGGGAATGTGATAAGCAGATATACATACAAAACTTAATACAGTGTGATAAATACAATGATAAAGTATGAAAAAAGTTCAGAGAAAGTATAATATCTACTTACATTAGAAAGTTGTTTTTTAGCATATGTTCTAATCTGTCCTTGTTAAGAAAAGAGAAAAAGAAAATTTATTAAATGTAATTATATTCATTACATGTAATAAACATATTTAAAAGGCTTTATCCACAAAGCTAGTTACCTTTTGGCCAGGAGCTATGAACTTGTGACACAGTTCAACATCTTCAGGACAATTTGACAGAACTGTCATTGTTGTAGTCTTAAAGAGGCCCTCCATTACCTAAGAGAAATGATAGAGAATTACCCGACATGTAAGCTACATGAAACACCTGTTTAGGGCCCTGTAAGGACTGCTCTCCAGGTCTGAGCAGCTGTAAATCCATTAGGCCTCTTACTTCCTGAATATACTGGAGCAAGTTAATTTGGTTTTCCAGATTGATTAGAGGAGGCATCACAACTTCTTCTTAGAGGGTGTAAAAAAAGGAAAGAAAAAAGTCTAAATCTTCTGTTAACAGTTTCAGTACTGACCCTGAAGTGGGCTGTCAAATGAACAGCTAAAGCAAATCGACGCCTCTCTAAATTTCAGTATACTCACTTATAGAATCAGGACAGTAACATTTCCTAGCTTACAGGGTTGTTGTGATAGTTAAATGAGGTAATCCATGTACAAGACATAGCTTAGTGCCCAGTGAAGAGAAGCTCACAATAAGTATCAGCTGTTGTGAAGAGTAGGCCATTTTGAAAAGTGCTTCATTCAGTCACTGGTAAATGAAAGTAAACTTTAGGATTGGAGAAGCAATGAGAAATAAAGCTACATCTAAATATATACCTTTTTGCTTTGCAAGGTATAGAGTAAAAAATAACAAATTATATAACACAAATCAGTACATAAGAATTCATTCTATCATGGGCGTCTATAAAAGTCTCATTGGAAAAACTTCTTAGAAGAAAAAATTGGAAAGGAAAATATTCCTAAAATATTTTTAATCAAAACTAAAATTTCTGTTTTGAAGGCAGTGAGATCATTGTGATCTCAGAATGTGTCCTCATAAAGATACATACATTGGTTAAGTACAGGTTGCCCCAGAGGCAGGGATCCTCTGCTTCTTTTTTTTTTAATCACTGATACCCTATCAAGCCTGGAAACACAGTGGGGGCTTAAGTGTCAGAGTTAGTATGAAAGATAGAGGAAAGCACTTAATTATCAAAAGAAACCATATAGATTTATTTACATATATAAAATATTTTTAGATTTCTTTTTATATATATTTTACATTTTTTACATTATACATACTATTTTGTAGAGAAATAAGGAATAACTTGATGAAAGAAGAGGAAAAGGAGGCTAAAGATCTTTTACTTGAGGCTATATCACCTTCAATCTAGCAGTGATAAGGAGATCACTAAGTACCTGAATGATTTCTGAAGGGTTATATCCTTCAATCACTGAAAAAAAGCCAACGCATATTGGGAGGGAAAAAGAACAGGTAGACTGGATAGTATGCTTGCACTGTTGAGGGACTCAACATATTCAGCTGTAAGGTGAACACTGACCACTGGGACTATTAAACAGGGTCTTTAAGGAGCAGTGCATTTCCACCTGAAGAAGAAAATCACTGGCTTTTCTAACTTAAATTTTACACCATGCTCTATAAATATATCTGAAGAAAACAGAAACCTAACAGAAGAGTTAGCATAACCCCCAGATGTTTTAAAAAATATATTACTCGATAGCACTAAAATAGTAATATTTAACTGCTTATGCCTCATGAGAAGAAAAAAATCCTTTGTTACAAATTCTGATTTAATATTTGAGACTGGTCTCATCAAGATGAATAATTTCCACAGAATTTAATTAATCAAAGGGAGAAGATTAAGAGAAGCAGGAGATTACTTTCAGGGGGAGCATAATTTTTTCTTCTATCTTTAGGAAAAAGTTCACATTTCAGTTAATTAAACCATTTAGCAGTATATACCCAGAGCACCACTCAGTGGAGTACCAAATAAATGAGAATTATGTAATTATAGAATACATATGTATTATATGTAAATATAGAATAGAGCAAAGATTATGTTTAATAAATTCTAACATAGTCTATGTATTGTCTTTACAACCTTTCCCTCTGGTATTATGCTGGGGCAGTGGAGACAAGGTGAAGGCAGAGACAGGAGGTTAAGAGTGTGGTTCCACTCCTCACAGCTCTCCCATTGCCTGAGTGAAGGAACAGTTTAGAATTAGTGGTGGGCTCACACTGAAAGCTGAGTAAGGAATTTTACTGATGCTTTGAGGCTCAGATTCTGAATCCCTAAATCTAGAAAAGGGTTTCTCATCGGTGTTACTATTGACGTTTTTGGCCAGATAATTCTTTGCTGAGGGAGAGGAGGTTGTGCACTGTAGGATGCTGAACAGCATCCGTCGCCTTTGCCCACTAGATGCCAGTAGGAACCAGTCTTCCCTACTCCTCCACCCACTCCCTAGTGGGGACAACCAGAAGCGCCCCCCCGAGGGACACTGACCCAGAGAAACCAGTGGGAGATGTTAAAGGGGTATATATAAGTGAATAGTGCACTGTGTTGCCAGAACACTCCTTCGGAACCAAGAATTTTAGCTGCTGGGAAAATCAACTGCTGATGGCTCATAGTTGGGTCCCTCTTCAGGAACTGCCCAGTCTTACCCAAGGTTATACCCCTTCCCAGGCTAGTCCATGTCCAGTGACTGGTTGATGTGGGGAGCCACTTGCCTTCCTATGGGACAACTATAAAGAACCATTCCAGCTCCAAAGTTCCTCACAGAACTAGCTAAGCCCTCTGTTTGTAAATGCATCACAGTTCAACTTTTCCTTCTGCCCAATGCTGTTTTCTTTCTTTCTTTACAGATGTTTTTCTCAAGAGCATTCTCCAATAATACCCTACACACAGATATCTGCTTTAGGTTTATTTACTAGGGAATACACCCTAAAATAGGATAATAAAATTGTGAATCCATTCTATTTGGAAGTATAACTGATGTTTTAAGTAGAACTGGGTAATTTACTGTGTGAATGAGAGTAGAAATGAATAAAGTAAGAGTTGATGAAAATTGCTAAAATAGATATTTTGTAATGAGAAATCCAAACTAAGATATTAACCAAAATGGTACCAGATAGAGAATCCATAATAACAATTAACAGTACTTACTAAGTGTCATGAACTATTCTAAATGCCACACACACACACACACACACACACAATATGTCTAATTCTCTGAACTACCTTATGAAGTAGAAATTATTATTTCTATTTTATAGATGAGGAAACTGAGGCTCAGAGAAATTAAGTCCCTTGTCCAAGGTCACAGAGCCAGTAAATGAAGGTGCTAAACATCAAACCCTGGTCCATCTAGCTTCAGAGTTTGCATGCTTTAGCTGGATTATGGCTGCAGCCTCCTGAAAAGGCTCCCATCCCCATTTTCATCTTCCTCTAAATCATTCTTCATATTGCTGCTAGAGAGATACTTCTGAAATGTAACTCTGACCATGGCCTTTCCCAGCTGAGAACTCTTTCTCCTTCATCTTTTGGATTGAGTTCAAACTTATCATGGCATTTAAACACAAAGTCTTTCTTTCATGATCTGACTCTTGACCACCTCTCCAGCGTCACCTCCTGAGCCAGAGCTCTGGCAGCTCTGTGGATGCTGTCTAATAACACAGCTAGAGAAACGTTTCTCTTACCATCAGGATGTGTTATTTATGTGCCTAGCAAATAACAAGAGCTACTATTTATCAAGCCTGCTTTGTGCCAGACCTTATACTAGGTGCTTTACATTATATACATTATTTCATTTACTTCTCACAATAACCTAATGAAATAACTACTATTATTCTCATTTTATAGTTGAGGAAGCTGAAGATCATTCAAGTTAGGTAACATCATAACAAAGTTAATGGTAGGGTTTGGATATGAACTTACATCTGTTTGACTCTTGTACTTTAAACTATGACACTAACATCATTTAGTAGACATTTATTAAATTAAGTAGTTCTCCATCTTCTTCAGTCTATAAACACCTCTAAGGCACAGATGTCCAAGCTAAAAATGTATACAGAAGCATTTTAATGTCACATATGTCTGATATTTAGAAACTATTCTAAAACTTGTGTACCTACCTGCATGAGATCTTGAAGATTCTCAAGAAAGGAAATCTCTGCTTCTACCATATAAAACTCTGCCAGGTGTCTCCGGCTCTGAGAATTCTCTGCTCGAAATTTTGGGCCAAAGGTAAACACTTGAGTAAAAGCTCTGCAATTCAAGATTAAAGGTATAAAAATAAGATTTACATGGTTAATTTTAAGTATTTAAAACATTCAGTGAGCTCTTAAGAAAAAAATTTTGTGCTTCTCTTACTTGCAAATTCACATGTATTAGCTGCTGTAGTTCTTTAATGGGTGATAATAATAGTTTCATTAAAAATGTTACATTTATAGAAACCATTTTATCCCAAAGGAATTTGCAAATGCTTTACAAACCCTACAGCTTACTAAATATAGAATTATAACCACTCCGGGTGCACTCTACTGTGGCTGCCTGAAACAGCAACTGAGAACAAAGTAAAGGAAAAGCACCACAGCCCAAGAAGCCACATAGAGAATCTAGTTAGTAACCGTTAAAACCGTAATTTCATGTGGATAAGGCATGCTAATCATTTTCTAGATACGTGAAAAAGAGCATCAGATGTGTTTGGTGATTTGCCTTGCCCGAGGCCTACTCAAGTCCTCCACAATCGCCTATGAGTTTCAATCAATGCTGAATGACTGCTGACATTTGGGGGTGGGTGGATTTTGAAGAACTGTCTACTTTATTCTATGGTTTTCAAAAAGGACTAGAACTCACAACATAAATGGAAAAAAAAAAACCCTCATTTTAAAATTCCTGCAGAGAAGCAGTCACGACACCTTCATTCTGTAACACTCAGTGTCTCCCTCACATGGAAACAGGGCAACCCCTAAGATTAGATCAAGCATATATGAAGTAATGAATATTTTCTGAGGCCCATGTAATCTTTGAATTTTAAGGTTTGCTAGAACAAAACAAGAGGTTGGGGCTTCTGGGCTGTTGTTCTGAACACTCCTCGTCTGTCATCAGTCAGAAAACATTAAGATCAGGAAACAGTGCAGAAAACATATGGATTATGGATACACATATCAGTTTTTTTGTTTGTTTTGTTGTCTTTTTAAGTAAAGATACTCTGGGAAATGAAACAGTAAAACAATTACAGTGGAAATCATGAAACTTATTTATTTTTTAAGGCCATTTCAGTTAAGGGCTAGTTGGTAAGAAGCTTAGGAATTTATGTTTTGGTTCTACAGCCACCTTCCAGAGACCATGATCAGTTAACCTCTGAGAATTTTAGTTTTTAATGGAAAAATAAACAGTAAGAACTCAAAAATATTACTATGGTAACCTTTCTCCCAAGATTCAGGTCTAGACTTGCCTGCTAGAATGTTCCTGAAAACACTGAACCTACTTTGTGCAAAATGAAAACTGTGGCCCAGTTCCCCAAAACAAACAGAAAACAAAGTAATGAACAATTTTGCTTTTCTTTTTATGTTTCCCCCAGCTGTTAATCTCAGTTAACCCATCTCAACACACAAACCAGATCCCCACTCTTCCCCCACTGCCCACACATTTCCCCTATCATGTGGATTACAGAAATAGACTGTTTATACCTAGGAAATCTCTCTCAAATCTAGAGACTCTCCTTTATCTCCACAGATATTGTCTCAGTGTAAACTCGTGTCTGCCATCTGTTTTTCTTCCTCCAGCCCCAAACTACTGTAAGTTTTCAAACTCAAATCTGATTATATCAGTCCTAATCTTTAAATCTTCAATGATTCCCCTTGCTAAAAGGATAAAATTCAAACTCCTTACTTTGACTCCACCTTCCCTCAAAAAAGCATTTCCTCCAGCACACTGAGGACACTCTCCTTAAATGCCTTTAAGCCTTTGCTTGGCTGTCCTCTCCCTGCATGCCTGTCCCCTGCTCCCCGATATCTTTCCAAATGCCAAATTCCCATCCATCCTTCAAGACTTGGCTCAAATGTTACTTTCTCTTTGTAACCTTATCAAATTTAATGTTCCCTCCTTCATATGACTGTAACACTTTGTTTATATATCTATTATATAGAACGTACCACTTGGAAATATAATTATGTATTTCATAACCTTCTCCCTCAATAAACTATGACATTTTCCAGAGCAGGAATCATATTTTATTCATCTTTGCATCTCCCGTGCATAAGATAAAACAGGTGCTGAAGACGAATGAGTGAGTAATGATGATGATAGGCTTCCTTAGTTGTGAACTGGAAAAGCACAACATCCTCACAAACAGTAACATTACAAATAATACACAGAAAAATACTCATGTTATTTTACTGTGGCTGTTACTCAGTAACTAAAATGGGTCAAACAATCTAGGTCGGTCCCAAACAATAAATCCAAAAATTATAAGGCTTTAAGTTTCTAATCTGTGACAATGCCATTTCTAGGTAGGATGGCAATAGGATATCTAAATAAATAAAATGACATTATTTTTTGGTACTGCATCATAAGAAATAGTATATACAGATATTCACTAACAACAAAGGATATTTTATTGGGATTTTCCAGGGCATAAATAGAATCTGGGTGGCATAAGTGAAATTTACTTTGGAGGCTCTGAGGGAAACTTCCAAGAAATGCGTAGTTATCATGAACTACAAGGAAGGCTAATGGGATTGCTGTTCCAAAGAGACACATTATATGTATTAAAGTACTAGGTACCGATAAAATAGCGGCATCTAAAAAGAACTACAGATTCAAGTCAAGGACATCTGCTTCTCATATGATAATTCTACAAAGAGGGCTCCAACACAAGTAGCAACAGGTATTTTTATTTAACAGTGGTTAATGATTTTCTCCAGCAATACAGGGTAAGCTCCCTAGTATAAAACATAGAAGAGGATCAGGGATTTTTATTTTAATTATAGTAAGGATCAGGTTCTAATCAAGATACCCAAAACTTACATATTATTCTAACAGAGTAAGTAAAAACCAATGGCCACAGTGAATTAACAGAAAGAAAAAATGAGCTGGAAGATATGTTGAAAAATTGCCTAATTCAGCATCTAGTCTGTTTTTTTTTTTGTATTTGTTTTCATTAAAAAAATTTTTTTTTAGAGTTATAGTCAGTTTACTATGTTGTCAATTTCCAGTGTAGAGCACTATGTTTCAGTTATACATGAACACACATATATTCATTGTCGCATTCTTTTTTGCTGTGAGCTACCACAAGATCTTGTAGATATTTCCCTGTGCTATACAGTATAATCTTGTTTATCTATTCTACATATGCCTGTCAGTATCTACAAACTTCAAACTCCCAGTCTGTCCCTTCCCACCCGCCTCCCCTCTGGCAACCACAAGTTTGCTGCATCTAGTCTTTAAGTAGGTCAGTGTTTAAACTATGCAATAAAGATCACCAGATGTCAGCATCCAGTGTTCTATTATAAAGCAGTGATAGCAGTCATAGTAGTAGTAATAGTGGTGGTGGTGGTAGTAATAGTAGCTACCATTAGCAAGTGCTCCTTGCAGGCCAGGCGTTAGACGTGAGAATCTTATAGTTAACTTCTTTATCACTAACTCAATAAAGTATGTATTGTTACTTCTATTTTTCAGGCTAAGAAACTGAAGTTCAGAGAGGTTAAGAAGCTTTCTGAAAAAGTCAGAGTCATAGCCTAATAAGTGTTGGAGGCCAGATTCAAATGTAGATCTGACTCTAATGGTCACAGCCTTAATTATGATATGAAAATAATGATGCTCATAGCTGAACATGGACAAACCCAGTAAATCAGAGAGAAAAATTTGGAATATACCACCCCCCTCTATCCCATCACTTTCTCAAAGATAACTGGGGTTAAGTAGTTTTGTAGATTTCCCTTCCTTACGAATAGCTTGTTTGTTTTATGTGTTAAAGTAACAGCTCTCTAGGATATGCTGCCTTCATGCAAATAATGAGAAGATAAATTTTAATCAATATTTTGCAACTTTTAGCAAGTCATTTAGCCTTTCTGGTCTTTGAATTCTCACATGAGTGGGAGATGGGGGCAGTTTGGCATTACTCTCTAGTACCCTTTACAGTAATTTTGTTTCATGGTCCACATGAAATCACTCTTGCTGATATCTTCTTTTTCTCTGTCTTCCACAGACATGAAAGTCATTTGCAGCAATGTCTGGCCCAACCAAGAGTTAAAATAAGATCTGAGAACAAGGCCATTTCTAAAATAAGATACAAAACCAGGTGAAAGGCCAGTACTGCTATGAGAAGAGACCAGCAGAAAAAGAAAACACTAAGCACTAAGACTCATTCTTGTGCCAAATTACAGAGAGAAGAAAGCTATATAAGGAAAGTCCATGAGCTTGGAGTTGATGGTTAAGATAATAAAAGTACATTCAAAACACAACAACCAAGATAGCTACAAAAATGGCTTTTTAAAAATAAAAAGTCACCAAAAAAAGGTTCTACAAAGGTCATTTTCTCCCTTGTGTGGAGATTTATAAAGCCCTAAATTGGCAAGCGGATTACTATAAAATGGTCACTGATTGCTTGATCATTTATTCCTTCCGGCCCTGAAATTTAAGAGCTAATTTTTGTATTTTGAAGGAACAGAAGAAATACCGTTCTCTAGCTAGAGGAGAACTTATTCAGCATAAGGTGGATCAGCAACTTTCCCTAAAGCTCCCACTCCCACCTCCTATCACTTCCCTACTGTCATTCAGGAAACATTCATTGAACTCAAGTGAACTCACAGACAGCTTTAAACTGGCTTTTAAAACAGTCTTTGTCAAGTGGTACCCATTCCCATCATCCAGAAAATAATCATCTATTTTACTCCTGCTTTGTAGCAACTGGATTATCAGTATTGTGACATATTTGTCATTCATTATTTCTACTTGCCTAACGGAATAGACTCTGGGCATCTCCTTTTTAGCTTTCCTCTTTTCCTCTATCCTCCAACAGAACACTTGGTGGAAGGGTTTCCAGAGAAGTAACTCATACCATTTCATCAATTCTCGTCAAGATGCCTTAGCAAGGATGCAGTCTAAAATCTAAATATTTATTCTTTACCATTATTGCAAAACATTTCTGCAAAATTAGTTTTCTTTAACATGTCCTAAATATCTGATTTAGAACTGAACCTGAGGCCCAAGCAAATTTAATCTTAATTGTATAAGGAGATTCAAAGTTCGATAGAGTCCGA